CTTATTTATTAGATAAGAATAATTGGTCGCGCGGGAGATGTAAATGAACCAAATGAAATAGGCGATCGATTCGAAATCGAACCATTGTTGATTCGAAATTCTCGAACTATTCGATTTCAAATCTTGCAGATTCGAAAACAAACTCGAATCGAATCTTCTGTGATTCGATTCGATTCGATTCCAATTCGAATTATTCGCACATCTCTAATGCGTAACATCAGCGTAGAATTTTGCTTGTCAATTTGTCTCAAAAGATTGAGAAGGTCGAAACATTGGTATTCATGTCAGTATTCTGTATTTCATGTCTTATCTACAATAGTGATCAAGTAACGGCTATGCGAGCCAACACGGATGTTGGTGTGTAATAAATGTAATAATTTTTATAATATCCAGCCACACGCAAACTGCGCGCCGCATATTCGTTGGTCTTGAAACACAGTTCATTACATGAGGCCGGAATCCACTTGTAACAATTTTGACTAGCAATTTAATCTCTTTGATTCTAATGTGCATCTATTTCTCTAAATTTTCTGGAGTAAATTTTCACTCCAAAAGAGTGAAAATACTGCCACTCGAGTGGCCGAGTGACAGTATTTTCAATCCTTTGGAGTGAGACTTTAAATAGAGAAATAAGAATCCCCTCCCCCCCCTCCCCCAAAAAAAGAGTGACCCGTTTTTTGGGCCCTCGATTTTGAGACTGAATCAAATAATATCATATATACTGAGACATTAATTATAGAGAAGTTTCAAGTTAAGGTGACAATTGTTATCAGAGCTGGAGGAGGGAGGGGGGAGGGGGATAAAAAATCAAAGTTTAATATGGAATTATCGCAGGTCTGCTTCGGCATTTTAAGAAGGTTAATCCAGTCTATGAAGGTTGATCTCAGTTTTACGTAAATGACGCTCATTTTGGATGCAAAAAAATCGAGTTTTCGCGTTAAGAGACGTAGTAAGTGACCTCCCCCTCCCCCCCCTCCAGCTGCGATAACAATTGTCATCTCAACCTGAAACTTTTCTGTGATTAATATCTCATTATAAGATACCATTTGGCACACAGTCCAAAATCGAGAGCTCAAAGAAAAAACGAGCAAAAAATCTTTTTTTGGGTCATTCTTTTTGAAACAAATCCGGGTTCGATTCCTGGCTGAGGTAATATTTTTGGCAATAAATTTCTTTACAGATTTTGGGGGGGAGGATTCTTATAGATGCACATTAGATTAAAGAGATTAAACTTCCGGTCTATAATGAACTGTGTTTCAAGACCGACGAATATGCGGCGCGCAGTTTGCGTGTGGCTGAATATTGTAAAAATTATTATACACTAACATTCGTGTTGGCTCGCATATAGGTATAGGCGTTACTCCACTATTGTAAATTTATTCTTGATAAGCCCTAATGCCATTAAATGTATTCATGTCTTATATTTATTTAGAAAACGCGAAGGATACAGTCCTTTTACAAATGTTTGCTTGCCTAAATATACCGTGCGGGATACCCAAAAATTATTCAGGTCTCATAAAGTGCGTTTTCCTTTCTAGCAGCACCTTCCTAAATGTCTTTCTTCCCTCTTGTCTCTTCAAAGTTTGATCTTTACATGTAATGTGTTTCATGCATTTAAAAGAAGAATATATATATGCAATCGGAAAGAGAGCAGTTCTGCTGCAATTCAACATGTCTGAATTTTTTTTCACGACACAAAAACGGAAATTGCATTGATGCGCTCTTTTGCCAGTCAATTCTCGATACGTCACGCACGTGCGAACGCGTCCGCCGCCCATCGCTCTAATAAAAGAAGAAAAGAACGGCTAATGTTTAATTCAATGTTCCACACGGCACGCCGAATTGTCAATCAGCGGACGTGTGAAAACGCATTGCATTAAAAAAAAAATTAAAATAGTGCATCGAATGTGTACGAAATTAAATTTGACCTTGTAAAAAAAAAAATAAATAAATATATTATTATATTATTAAAGTGTTTAATAAACTTGTTTAATAAACTATAAAATAGTTTTAAATTGTTATTAAACGTATCTTATTTGAGACAAAATCAAATCTTAATTTATCCGTTACGATTGTACACGATATCGCAATTGGTTAACTCAATAAAAAAAATATATCGAGCCGTCTTCGCAAAAATAAATACATTAATTAATAAAGCAATGAATAGTATATCAAAGATCAATTTAGTATCGACCAAAAAAAAAAACGAGTTCCTGCAATACATCCATTTCTTGCGGAAAAGATATAATTTTTTGCGTAAAAGGCGCGATACCGTAACGCGGGACGAATGCGCAAGAAGAAGCGGCCCGTCATTCGCGGCCATCAATACGCAAGAGTTTTATGGCGGTTATTAAAGCAGATTAAGCATGGGGGCAATAATACTACACTCGCTCGTACACTTAGCACGTACGTTTAAAGTAAAATATTTACTTCCCGCCGCGCCGCCGCGCCGCCCGAGCGATAATCTAGAGGGAGGCCGCCGCGCCGCGGCCCGGAATGCATTCCTCTTTAGCACCACTCGCATATTCAACGAACGACACCTCGACGACGCCGACGATGCGACCGCGGTCGACGTGTCAGAGTCCAACGACCCATGAGGTCAGGTAAGAATTATTATGATTCTACGTGCGTGCAAACGAGCATAGTCCTGCCGGAAAATTGACCTAATAGCGTTTTCGGATGGAACGGGTTTGAACCGTTCCGTGAGCGATTAAGGCGGGAGGGGGCCTGATTTAGCACGCTGAAAAATTAGATGACTTTTTTGGAATTTTTTTTTAGAAAACTATTCAACCAATTCTTTTGAACTTTATAGGGTAATTTCTTATACTATTGAACTAACAAACAAATTTTTTTTTGCCAGAAAAAAGTATTTATTATGCAAGTAATAATAACATTTATTCGGCGGTAATGGCGTTTGGCGGCGTGCAAGATAACTCAAAAACTATTCATCCGATTGACTTGAGCCTTTGCACACATCTGCACAAATACTTTCCTAACAACTTGAACCACAGTTTATAATAATATTGTTTAATTAAATAATTTTTATTGCATAATAAACACAAAAAATTTTTCGTCAAAATCGCTACCTTCTTTTTCCAAGTGCGCGATTTTTACAATTTCGCATTATTTTCTTTAAAAATAGGTTCAGTTAATGCATAAACTCTTAATAAACAATAATCTTTTTGGATTTTTTATTTCAGACAAATACAAGCTACATTGCACGCCACCCGCCGACGCGCCGAATAAAAAGTTATTATTACTTGCCTAATAAATATTTTTTTCCTAGCAAAAAAATATTTTTTTGTTAGTTCAATAGTACAAGAAATTACTCTATAAAGTTCAAAAGAATTGGTTGTATAGTTTCCTGAAAAAAAATTCCAACAATCACCTAATTTTTCAGCATGCTAAACCAGGCTCCTCCCTTAATAACGTCACTCTCCTCGTCCAATCAGAAATTTAAAATAGAGCATGTGACGTCATTAATCGCTCTCGGAACGATCAATCCACTCCATCCGAAAACGCTATAACTATGGAATTGTCCCTAACTCGAGTACAGACATAATCAAGGGTTTTTGATAAATTCAGCCATTTAAAAAGCTTCTCATCACATAAATAGCTTCGACTATAAGAGAGACTAAAGACCTGGCGCGTCTCTAGCGTTAATATTAATAGAATTTTAATCTTACCCGGAATGACCTTGACTCGATGAAGAGTAGAGTTACTGATATAGCTTAAAAGATATTTCCACCTGTACATTCGTTACGTGGGATGTGTAATAAACAAGAATCTACAACGGTTCAACATCCTGCATTTTCTCACGTGGATGGATGAGCGCAAGAATGATAATGGCAAGTCGTTTAAGCTCCTGATCATCGCGAGCGAGTGAGAAATGGTTTCTCTACGCATTATGGCGAGAGGAAAATACCACATCGCATGATAAACAGATCGAATGATCGAAGATTATACACTGCGGTCCATAAGTTTTTAGAGAAAAATATAAAATAAACAGCAGTTGAAGTCGGTTTAAATTTACGGCTTAAATTTTTAGAATATCGTCGAATGATCTAAAAAAATGTCACAATCTTACGTTCTACTCCCTCGATTTATCTCTGTCCGACTATTTTATGTTTCCGAAACTGAAATTGCAGTTGAAAGGCTAAAAATTTAATGTTGCAGAAATTTGAGCCGCTATAACGGCTGTGACCCACTAATTGAAGTCTATTACGAACGAGGAATGAATTAACGATGATACAAAGATTGCAAACAAGAATAGCTAGCAGATTGAGTGTGAAAGATTCTATTTTGAATAAAAAATATTTAAATATTTTTTTTGTGTTGTGACGTGTTCCTTATTTTATATGATTTATGTCTCAAAACTTATATGGATTACACTATGTTTAAGAAGTTTAAAAAACAACACATTACTCAAAGAAAAAAAAATTATTCCCAATTCTAACACAGGTTTCTAATTATAAGGTAAAGTTTTCGAACGGCCTTTTCTAATATTATAATTTAATCATTGCTTTATTTATTTTTTATTTATAAACTTTATGACAGGAAATATCATATATGCGGAATTACGAAGAGTGATTTCAGACATTTACAGAATAATAGTATAATTTGCTGCACCGATACAATTAAAGATACAATAAGCATCTTTTGTATAATTCGAGTTGTAGCGTGCGTCGATTATACCGCTACAGCTAAACACATTGGTTATATCTCCCGATGTCCTGAAGCGGGATCCACGCGATGTGATTACGGTGATCTCACGTTACACGCGAGATGCACCTGTGTTACAAACGATCATACGTCGCGCGCCGAGCGCGAATCGCGGTCCACGTGTCGAAGTCGAACGCGAGTCGTCCACATAATTGGTTTTGGCGCGATTCACTCTCGTTTCCGACGCGACGGGGGAGGGAAAGAGAGCAACGACGCGGCGCGACTCGTGCTAAAATCCAAAGGGGGGGAACACACTCGTGGAGACAATTCGAACTCACCAGGCAATTCATCATCGTGCACAGGACGAGGATCGTCCCACGACTTCCGCGCATTATTTCCGCTTTGCTGACCACGCAGCTCCTCCGAGAGTCGAATCGATTTCCCGCTTCACCTGACGGCCGTACACGCGTATATATCACCGCCGATAACGAGCGCGATCGTTAGCGTGGCGCGCACGGGAGGGATGATGATGGTGGTGGTGGTGGTGGTGGTGATGGTGGTTGAGCGACGGTGGCACGAAGAGACGTAAACAAGCGTGTTAGCGTCGGTGCCTTCTCCGCGTGGCCGTGGGACGTGGCGCGTTTACGCGTGCGTGAGGATGACTGAAACGAGACTGAACGGGCCCCGGTCGGTGGTCGGGTCTGGCTTTTGGCGCGAGAGCAACAGGAGGAACGGAAAAGCGGCCAAGACGGGGTCCGTGCTCCCACCTTCTCCTCGCCACGGTCTTCCGAGCTTCCTCCTCCTCCTCCTCCTCCTCCTCCTTCTCTTCTTCTTCGTCCTCGAGAAACGTCTCATTTCTTCAGTCGGGAAGGTAAAGACCTTTCGGTCATCGTGGCATCGATAGATATTGTAAGGTTCTCACTTTCCTGGCTGTCTTAATAATTATTCTATACAAATATGATGTTAGGATAATGAATTGATTATATAGTTTCACTATTTTCGGATGATTAGAAGTTTGCAACGAGATTTCTACTCCGCCCCAGCAAACACAGATTATAACTGCAATATTGCAGCAACATTGTAACATTCCAGCTATATTACAGAAATATTACAATGTTGCTGTAACATTGTATAGTTATAATCTGTGTTTGCTGGGCGGTTTCGAGCACTCGTGTTTTAAAGATCCTCCTCCTCCTCCTTCTCCTCCTCTTCGTCCTCGTGAAACGTCTCATTTCTTCAGTCGGGAAGACCTTTCGGTCATCGTGGCATCGATAGATATTGTAAGGTTCTTACTTTCCTGGCTGTCTTAATAATTATTCTATATAAATATAATGTTAGGATAATGAATTGATTATATAGTTTCACTATTTTCGATAATGATTAGAAGTTTGCAACGAGATTTCAACTCTGCCCCAGTAAAGGTTATAATTGCAATATTGCAGCAACATTGTAACATTCCAGCTATATTACAGAAATACAATGTTTCTGCAATATCGTGTAGTTATAATCTGTATTTGCTGGGCGGTTTCGAGCACTCGTGTTTTAAATATTCCAATTCCAAAGATCAATCAATACGCTCGCTTTGGATTCACACTTTTAATAAAAATTATTCACGTACAGACGCCATGGCCCCGCAATACACTTTCATAACTATCTCTTTGAAAACTTCAGGCATACTCGTCTATTCTTTTAACGTTACTCACTAAGCGCCGTTCTGCCAAATCATTCTCTTCGCTAATTCAGTAGTTGTACCCTTGGACCTTGAGCTAAAGGAATTCGCATTATTCTATGATGCGGTATTGATAATATGATTTAGGATTATGACCGATTATGTGGCTCTACTCTTACAATACTTTAATCAAAAATATTTTTTAGATAATCCGCATAAAATTATAAACAGATAAATATTTTAACGGTCACGGCTGGATCTTGACGCCTAACGAATTCTATATATGAATTTTTTAATTCCATGTTCAACGGCTGAAACATGGAGTTAAGAAATTCATATAGAATTTGTTAGGCATCAAGATTCAGCCGTAATCGCAGAAGAACCGCTATTGAATTTATTTGTGTTATTCACATAGGCGGTCTAGTTCTAATTACAATTATTGTTTAAATATTTTAACTTTTTTCAAATTTAGATACTACCGTTTAGCTACTATATACATAAGTGATTTCTGTAAGTGATTTTTTTTATAGATAAAACGTCATTACATCGGCTTTTTATTTATTTAATCTTTG